ACTATACGTAGACTCTTTAATACATTTAAAATGAACAAATCGTATGGATGATAAATACTATTTTAATATTAACGAGTTATTTGAAAAAGGAAATGGAAATTGCACATATCCGTTTCAATGAGAATATCAGTGACATTTTGACTAATACTTTAACAAGAAAAAAGATTTAAACGTTAAGAGATTTTAAGAAATTATATTATAATTATAATTCAATTATTATATATTTGTAATCACGTTTCTTAAACTTTGGACGTTACAATATTTTGGCAATAGATTTTGAATATAAGGTCTTTTGACTTGTAGAAGATTTTTTTTTCAAACTAACGATATCAAACAGTATGTAAGAGCAGGACTTGTAATAACAGTTTTGTAAGAAGTTGTTTATATTATGTAATTTGAATTTTATCTCATGGAACAATAAATTCCACGTTGTGATGTTCCCCATGTCTTTGGCTGACCTTTATACTGCCATCATGCATCTCAAACATAATCAGGATTCATTACTGAATACCACCCAATGCTACTCAACCTTAATTTCCAATGAATGGTAATTGATCTGCTACTGGAGATAAGATCCCTTGTTGCTTTAAGTCAAATATCTAAATCTGTCTAAATCTCAGTTTTAAAGTTCCAACGACTTTTTGTTTTTTTTTATACAAACCAAGCAATACCATCGTACTTTTACACATCCATGACATGTTTTCACTGAAATTATCTTCTTTAAGAACGATAAATTCTGATATTTCCGACATATAACCTAACTAGCCAACCTAAACATTAAAAAATCAAAGTTATTTTGGTTGTCTTAGATGACCCATCAGTCGACTAATTCTTCAAAATAAAAATGGCTGTTCTTAGAGCATCCAATTTGCAATGATCCAATCACGTATGCGAATTTCAAATCAGTAAACAACTATTTCTGCGAACAAACTTATTATTATCACATGTCTATATGTACATGACATGATGGTATCATCAAATCTGCTGAGTACAGGCTGATCATGTACATATAAAGCATGATGACGACCTGCCTTTCGACATGCGGAATTTTCTCCCTCAACCACTAAAACCACTCCCAAACCAAACCCACCGTATCCGCCTACCAAAAACCAGGGAGGAACCTCGACTTTATTTCTACACCATTCCATATTAACTAAAATACAACGTATCAAACCTTACCTAATTACAATATAAAACGAAAGAAAAATATAATGAAACAAAATATAATCCTTCTCATCTACACTCACAATTTATCCGCTAACTTAAACTAAATCAATACCAGAAAATAAAAATAAGTTAAGAAAAACATTAGAAAAATATACAATACTGCCTTAACACGTTTACTGCCAGAACATACTCAGCGGCATAAAAAACGCATCACCTAAAATGATGACCAGTTTCAAACTGCAATAACTGTTAAACGTATTGCTCGATTTGAATAAGGTTTTTTTTATTTGAAAGGTACCCTTTGCCAATATTTCTGTAGGTGCCTTCCCCATTTTGGCGCTCTTCAATTTCAGCAATGGTGAATAACGCTAATGCGCGTTTTCTTTCATACACTTTAAAGCTTGCTGTGGGGTGCACCGACAAAAGAAAATAGTTTTAATCATAAGGAACTTGTCTGTTCTGATCACTTCTGTTTTTTGTTCAAGTTTCTATTAACTTGTTGTTTCTATTGTTATTAACACCAAAGTTACAAGCTTTAGAAGATAACACAGCTTGTTCGGCAGCGCCATTAGAAATTAAAGCAAGTCATTTCAGTGACGTTTAGTGTCGTTAACGTCATACACTGTTACTAAATAAGAAAAATGCCTTTAAGTCTTGCTTCCTCGTGTGCTTCGAAGCACGTACGGAGCTTTGCTTTATCAACGGCAATCTAAACACGGATCGGTATATTGAAGCAAAACAATTGCTTCTGGTTTATGCAATGCTTGCCCTTCTCCAGTAGAAGAAGTTTATACCGCCACGCTAAGCAGAAATTGTTCTTCACGTCGCGTCATGAAGAAGAGAGACCTGAGTAAGACGGCAAAAATAAATCATGGGTGGCATGTAACGAGGAACTGAAAGAGAATTCGAACCTACTGTAAAGGATGTGAAGAGAAGCCTCATCTATGCATCAACTGTTTCAATAAAAAACATGGCTATGGTCAGGAGTTAAATCCTATATTGCAGCATCAGAATTTTATTGGCCTTATGAAAAAATTTGTGCTACGCAACACTACTGTTAGGCCGACTTTATCAGTCTACATAGTCAAAACTAAGATACGAAATATCTGGCGTTTAAGATGCGAAAAACTGATTCGGTTATATTGACCGAATCGTTGATTAAAAATATTTTCTGGGTCACCTCGACCGAGTCGGCTTAGCGCAAAACCACTTTCTGGGTCATATTGACCGAGACTGCAGTGAACGTGTTAAAACTACTTCACCTATGAACCACTGTGTAATAGACATATGTACATGTCGTCTCTGAGGGAGGAGACAGGGTTTTACACTGGATCTGAGATCCAGTCTCTATAGCCAACTAACGTGCTAAAAAACACCACTCCCCCATTATTCGGACGTTCAGGCACGATATGCTGCAGGTTGTCCTCATTCACCTACATCCCGTTCATTTCCTTCAATCGAAACGTTCTCAAATATACTCTCGTCATCAGTTGAATGGTCTTACTACACATGGCTTCTTTACCCATCTCATGCCTCTCTAATATCTTTCACCATATCCCTCTTATACACACACTTTTGGACCACACCCTCTTCACATCCCCTTCCAACCCCTAGCAGGGAGTTGACAAGACGCTCTCCTTATCTCTACGGTAAGTACTGCCTTGTTAGCAATGCCATGGTGCAGATCCTCGTGAATCATAGGCTTTTATAGCAATCTCTCCATCGGCCACGATTCCACTTCTCATTTGTACAATTAACATTTTGTTAGTTTCTTTTTCAACTGTTCTCCTCCATATCATTTTGGGTCTTCCACGTGTAATGGTCCAAGAGTGTTTCATTTTAGAACTCTATAACCAGGCTCATTTATGACTCTCCTCAACGCGTACCCAAACCACCCGTACTTTCGTATAGCTCAGTCAGTTGAAATAACTCGTGGCCAGAATATTCGTAGTATGTACTGCAAGCATTTGTTGATGAATTCTCAGTAACGAGCCAGGTTTCGCATCCATAAAGCAGCACTGATTTAACATAAGCGTTCAAAACGTTCAGTTTATTTTTCTCTGGAGCGTTTTTATAGTCATATTTTGCCTTAAAGCCTTTCTGAATGCGGGCTTTAACGTCTAGTACAGCGCCACCATCGGCTGAAACGATACTTTCAAGATAGGTGAAATGTGCGACGCGCTTCCGGGTGCGAAACTTCAATCAATCTATTCAGAATCATCCTGTTGAAAATCTTACTGGAAACTCCTAGCAAGTTTATTCACTCAGGTTGCCCTTTTTCGCTATTTTGACAGTGATGGCATTCTGCAGGAAATGTATATCAAATCAATAGCAAATCAAAAGTAGCTTCATCACCAGCCTTCAAAACATCAGCTGGAATCCCGTTTAGCCCTTCCGGTCTTCATTTCGTTGATAACATTTGCAATTTCTTCTCTATTCACCACCTCATCGATGTCACATTGTCGTTACACACCTTATATCTGTGCTTATTGCCCCCCTTCCTTATCTGCCATTCCACACCTAATCGATTGCAGCTCCGCCAAAGTTGTTGTCGCTACATCTTCCATCCTTACTCTACACTCATTCATCATATTTTCGACCACCATCGCCACGACTCCTGCATTCACTCCATACTTTCATTCTCCTCATCGTCTCCGGTTACCTCGCAATAAGACAATTTTCTCCCCGTAGAAAGACATAATTGACAGATAGGGCCAATTTGACAGATTAAAAAGTTATTCTTGGTGGTATCTTTAAAACTGATATTGAATGTAATCAAGTATAATGTTGTGGGAGGTCAGAGGTGGTATTAATTGTGTTTGGGAAATTGTTCAATTTTCTAAAAGTTCATCAATTTTTGTTTTGCAAATTGTCATGGAACAGAAATTTTCATTTCTGCATACAGTGATAATAATAAATACTTTTTTCGTCTTGTGTTATACTTGTCACTTGTGTTACACTGTAACATGTCATGAAAATAAAAATGATAAACTCATAAGTGTCATTAAAATGTTTAACATTTTTGATGACAGCTTCGTATGCCTAATGAGTTATTTCTTTGCAAACCATATTTAGCCCACTTCTAGTAGGTATTTAGTCTCCTCTAAGCAGTAATTAGTCTTCTGGTATATAGCAGCAGCTAGTCTTCTAGTGATAGTAGCTAGTTCTTTGACAGTAGTACTAACCAGTAGTAGCAGTATCTATTCTTCAGCCAGTGGTATCTAGTTCTCTTCAAGCAGTAACTAATCTTCCAGAAATACAGCAGTATCTAGTCTTAAATACTCTGCAAATAACAGTCTTCTATTACAAGTGTCTAGTCCTCCATTAGCAATATGTTCTTCTGCAAGCAGTAAGTATTCTTTTGCAAGCAATAACTTCTTTGCCAGTAGTACCAAGTTTTTCGAGGAGTAGATTCGTACATCGCCTTTCCCATTCGCTTTTTTTTTTCAACTTTAACCACTTCCTGCGCTTAGCTCTTGCAAGCAAATATGGCGGCGCCACGAATCACCAGATCTTGCTTTGTTATTTATACTTCTTTATTGAGTTAGTGATACAATTTTAGTTACCAATGCAATTTTTATTCTGAACTATATCGTCTCAACTCGTCATGTTTCCTTTTTAATTGATTAGCCACGTAAAAGGATTCGATACTTATTTTTATGCACACAGTGTGCATTTTTATGCACTTCTATCAACTCAATTAGCTCATAAGTAGATTTTGATTAGGCTAAATCATTTGTATGTTTATATACTTAATACTAAATGAAAAAATGACTTTTTATCGCAAAAAAATTGAAAAAGTAATGTATTTTGATAATAACTTTCTTTTCTAGTGCTTTTATAAAGAACAAATTATAAAATGGCAAATAGATCGGGAACATCTCAAAGAGCAAACGGTCCAGCGCAAGGAAAAATCTGTCAATTTAAACTGGTTTTACTTGGAGAGTCGGCTGTCGGAAAATCGAGTCTCGTGTTGCGTTTTGTAAAAGGGCAGTTTCACGAGTACCAAGAAAGTACGATCGGGGCCGCGTTTCTTACGCAAACCGTTTGTCTCGATGATACGACCGTTAAATTCGAGATATGGGACACCGCGGGCCAAGAACGATATCACAGTCTCGCCCCCATGTACTATAGGGGGGCGCAGGCGGCGATCGTCGTCTACGACATCACTAATCAGGACACTTTTGGACGCGCGAAAACCTGGGTCAAAGAACTGCAACGTCAAGCAAGTCCGACCATCGTGATCGCTTTAGCCGGAAACAAACAGGATTTGGCCAATAAACGTATGGTGGAGTTTGAGGAGGCTCAAACTTACGCCGACGAAAATGGTTTGCTTTTTATGGAAACGTCCGCGAAAACTGCTATGAATGTTAGCGATATTTTTCTTGCGATAGGTAAATAAAAAGTATGATTTAAAATTAGTATTTTAAAATGTTTCTTTTTGTTTAGCGAAAAAATTACCTAAAAATGAACAAGTAACAGGTCCAGGTGGTAACAATCAAGGTCGAAGATTGGCGGAGGGAGACTCGGGGGCGAAAGCTGCCGGAAATTGTTGCAAGTGATGGGGCTCCGGTTGTTGCACCTCAACCACATTGAACTGAACTCGCGCCGTCCGTCAACGGCGGTGGCGCATTAGTGATAAATCAGTGTAATAACGTAAGCCCATTTAAATTTAAACGATTTTACGAACTGTGTCCATCTTCTGAGAGATTAAAAAACATCAAAAAAAAATCACGAAAATGAATAAAGTGGTCTCACGTAGATTGGCTAAGTTTGGACCCGTTTTGGAGGTGAGTTATTTTTTCTCCTTTTTTAAATTAATTATGTAAGTCTTTTTGTTTATTTTGATTTTAAAATGATGTTAATCAATAAGTTATAAAATTTAATTTAATGAAGAAATGATAATGATAAAATTTTTGTACATACGAAAGCTTTTTTTGCTCTACACTACGTTTTTCATTCAAATGTAAATAATATAAGTGATGTTATTAAAAAAAAAGCATTTATTTTAAGTAAACCCCCACAGCCCCCAAATTTAGACAATCTACTTTTTAAATACAACAATTTTAATGATATTTTTTTGTTAATAAAATTAATTAAAAAATCGGGAATGTTTCGACTTATTTCAAATCGTTATCAAAATCTCTTTCTGTTAACCCGAAACACATCTTTAAATTAACTGAATCAATGGAATTTTGTAACCCAAAAAAAAGGAATGTTTTAATTAAAATAAATGATGACGTTTTGAAAAAGGTCTTGTAACGAAAATGAAAAATAGTGAAATGTGTAATTAACGACTGTTACTTAAGACAAACAAAAAATCAACAAGAATAAGTAAAAAAAAAACGAATCGTATATATATTTTTATGTTCCAATTTGTCCTCTTAAACTTTTGTAATTTTAAAAAAATTAGCTGTTGCGTTCGTTCCACAACACCGTTTATGAGTTTCTTTTTGTAGGCGTACGTACAATGTAGTAGGGTGGTTGTACAGTAAATTTAACTAAATAAAAAAGAAAATACAAGTAAAAAAACGAGAGTTCTAATATTATATTATATCATATGGATTTTATCCATATTTAAATAAATAATTAATTGTATTATAATATATTTGAATATATCTGAAAAAAAAATCATTATAATTATTATTATTATTAATATTCTATTATTATTTTTAATTACGCTTGCTTACCTATGGTTATTTATCATTATTCTGTAAGCACGGAATCAGATTGTACAGGATTTAAAAGATCATACTCAAATAAAGTTATTACAATGTATTTTTTTATTATTTCAAATCTTAAGTATTACCTGAATCCTTAAATTTCAAAAAAGAAGGTTATAACCAAACGTCCTTTATATGAAAAATTTTATGCACCAATTTATTTTAGACAAACGAAAATGTTATAGATAGATAAACAGTGTTATAGTCAATATTCTACATGTAGCAGCATATAGACTCCTACAAGATTTAGTTTTAACTCGCCCTGGAAAAGAAAATAAAAAGCTTCTAGGACAATTAAATTTATTTAAAAAATCTTTAATTATATTTTGTGATCTAAGTTCTAGTCTAAGTGTGTTCTTCGATTTCAGTGTATGTATTGTTGAAGATTAATCCTTTAATTTACTTTCAAGTATAATAGTTAACTTAGAAAAGATGAAGGAACGATTTAATGAACAAATTAGTAACTTGAAACCTAAAAAAAACGGATAAATCATCAGTTATTTACAAGAGAAGAATATTATTCCTTTTTATCAAAAGTTAAAGAAAATAAAGGTTCTGGTAAATCCCCTGAATATTACGATTAACAAGATATGATATCAAAAAGATGGGAAGTGTAAAAAAAACTCAAAATGAAAAAAGTTAAAGCAAAATGTAAGAACATACTACAGTCATAATATTGCAATAAAAGTTGAGCAACCCAAAAAAAGGACTTGTTAAGTCAATTAAAGTAGTATTTTTTAATTCAAGATGTCAGATACATCTAATTAGATAGATAGTCACAAGCAGACGGCGACTACAAGTTTATAATGGTTTATAAATACCATCTCACGAAGTTTGTTCAACTCAGAGCTTTAAAAACAAAGCGAACTGATGAAGTTGCTTATCATCTTCTGAACAAATTAACAATTTTTAGAGCTTCCAAAATTCATGGAAAACCAAGACATAACCAATCACAAGGTTCGGTTGAGAGAGCCAATCAGAACATAGAAAATAGGTTGTGTACTTTTCTTGAAACAAATAATACCACAAAATGGTCAGAAGGAATTAAAATTATCCAACTCATGAAAATTAGACATCATTCTGGAAATGATAGCAGTCCTTATGAAGCTGTTTAGTTGTAAGGCTTGAAAACATATTTGCCAACAGATGCTATTTCAGAAATCACTATAGAAGAGGAACTTGAAAAGCTGTTAAAAAAGCACTGTAATGAAGATATCGAACTTGAGAGAGCAACTCCAGAAGTAAATAAAGATAATGAATCAGAGAATGAAGGCAATGTGGAAATGAAAATACATAATCCTACTGAAAATGTGTAATTAATAACTGTTGGAACTTTGGCTATTAATTTAATCACAATAGGAAAAATTGGTGGTGACGACCAAATTCAAAATAATTCAGAAGAAAAAGGTGATTTCACCTGCTTACTCAATCAAAGATCTACAAGCATTCAAAAAGTTCGAAATTCTGCAAAGCACTCACTAGAAAAACAAGCTGACAAAATGTTATATTTTTCAAAATCAAAGTATCCAGTAACTGTAAGAGAAAACGTACTTATAAGAATTCCGGATGTAAATACAGATAAAGCAGACAGCTGGAATCTTACAGTAATTATGTCTTATCCTTTTGAGCATACTACCCAATGCCGCCATTGCAGACTTAGTCCTAAGTGAACCCTAGAAACCTGAGTAATCCTGCGGTAGACCGCAGTAACCAACCTAGATTTGAAGCAGGGTTAATAAGGGAGGGAGAATCCTCGCATACGGAGATTGGGCTTAACCCTTAACAAATCTGGAGCCCAAGGAAAAAATGAGAAGTCATTGATAAAGTCATGACTGGAGGTGCAAAGAAAGAGATCGAATCTTGATAAGAAGATATGGAGAGGCAAACTGAAGGAGACCAAAGATTTGGGCTGTAATGCCATTGGAGAAGGAGGAGGAGGTATTTATTGACAATTTTGTCTTACCTTAGCTTAACTTAAGGCCAAGTTATCAAATATTTAATACTTTTAAGAATTTGTACTAATTTTTATACTATTTCTAGGTGATTTTCATGAATTTTAAGGAATTTCTTACTTTATCCAGAGCTTTCAAAAATATTCAGTGATTTTTTTTGTTATTAAAGATCATAGACAAATTTCTAGGATTTCTAGCTGTTTATAGAAAACTTGCAAAAGGTTTTCTAGGAATTCAGACGATTTATAGATTACTTATGGAGGCTTTTTTAAAGTGATTTCTAAGAATTTGCTCGTAAACTAGAGGATTTCCAGAAAATTTATTATGATTTTCAAGAACATTGTTATTATTATTAAAAGATCAGCAAGGATATCCACGCATTTTTAAGTCTACCCAGAGATTTTCAAAATTTTCCAGGCATATTTAACGATTTTGAAAGATGCTCAGCAAGTTCTATGCGTTTCCAAGGATTTGCAGACAATTCCTAGATATTTCCGAATATGTTTAGATATTTTTAGCAACTTTAAGAAATTTCTAAAAAATTGTACGAAAGATTAGAGCTTTTAAGGAGTATCAACACTTTTGGAAAGCGTACCAAGAGGGTTGGGTTCAATTTCCTAAAGGTTCTTTGGTATATTAGGGTTTTTGGAAAGCATTCTCAAAGAATTTTCAAAGGTTTTAAATTTTCAGGTATATTTAGAGGATTTACACAACGTTTTTATGGATATTAAATGATTTCCAAGTAATTTATGAGTATTGCCAAGTATATCCAGAAGTTTTAGGAGTTCTCAGAGGGTTCTAGAAATTTCCATATTTTTTCAGATATTTCTAAGGAATTCCAGACATTTTTAAAACTTTGTAATAATATTCAGAGCAGGTTTTAAAGGATTGCTAAGATTTTCATCTATGTCTAGGGAATTTGCACAAGATTTTGAGGTACACCTGATGATTTCCAAATAATTCATGAGCATTGTCAATAAAATCTCGGAGTTTCCAAAATTTTCCAAATATGCTCAGATATTTGTAAGGATTCTAGGCATTTAGCACTAGATATGTTAGGATACTAAATTCCTACATATACTTTGTATATCTATAAACATGGCTACGAGTGCTAACATTTACATTTAAATATACTGCATTTTTTGTAGTTTATGTTTTACTGTATTTCCATCATTTCCAAAAGTAAGATTTATTAAGATATTAAGATATTTAGTAATTTCTACGTTTTAAGGTTGCTCACAAAATTATCTACATCATATTAATTCATAACGAGAAAAACATCAAAAATGATTCACATATCAAATCCTTAATCAATCTAATATGTTTAAATAAATTATAAATTTTTGAAGTTGTTTAAATATTATCATAGTACATATAAAAATAGTTTAGTGATTTTTGTTTTTAAAGGTTGGTCACAAATTCATCGCATCACGTAAATTCGCTATTGAAACGTCATAAAATGTGGTTATGTCCAATATATCATTAATTTAAACACATTTTAAGATCATATAATTGATTTAATTGTATAGGTTTATGTTTATTACTCTTATTAGGATAATACGCGATGGATGATTTCTTTAGTTCGGATGATGTATCCGATTCCGATTTGGTAACTTAACCTCAAACGTCACGGTTTATTTTCATCTTAAGAGTTCATTCATTGCGATTTTAGGTAGCGCAATGGCTAAACACCGCCGCTGTATCTCAATCTCCAGCGGAGAGACTCGAAATATTTCACAAAATCCAAGAAGTACTCACCCGAAAAAGTCCTTATTTACTTAATGAATATTTGGCGAACGTTTTAAGTTTTACAACCGATCGAAACAGCGATGTTAGAAAAGCGCTGGTTGGGTTTATCGAAGATATTTGCAAACAAGATGAAAATATGTTGATAAAAGTTATGGAAACTTTGTATATGTTGCTTTACAATGAATCTGTTCCTGTTCAAAAAAGGGTTATTCAAGCTACGATCACGATTTATCGTCGCGCGTTGAGTTGGTTGTGTAAAGTTAATGTTATCACAAAAGAAATGGAAGAATGTTGGGTTCGGTTAAATACAATTAAAGTAGAAATTGTGAATATGATTGATAGTGATAACGATGGGATTAGGACAAGTTCTGTTAAGTTTTTAGAATGTGTTGTTCTTTTGCAATCATATCCTGATCCAAATGAAAATCGTCCTACAACTGATTTTTCTTTGGATGATGTACCATTAACTTTAAAAGTGGCTCGGAGAAGGAAATTAGAAGAAGAAGCTAAGTAAGGCTATAAAAATAATTTTAATGGTTATTATTAATTTTATTTTAATTCTTTCCAGTAATATTTTTGCTTTATTAATAAAATTTATTGGTTCCCAACACGTAAGTAGCGCAAATTTATTCGCATGCATTGGAGCTTTAACGAATATTGGGAAAAACCGACCGGTTTTCTTGGAACAAGTCATAAATTCAATTGAAAAACTCCTATTAAATTTACCTCCAACTTTAAGCACCACCCAAGTCAACTCTGTTCGAAAAAAATTAAAATCTGAAGTTTCTGGCTTATTAAAACACAACACTGGAAGTGAATATCAAGAAAAATTAACAACAATGTTAACTGAGTTGGGTTGCTCCCAATCAGAAATAACCAAAATGATCCCAAAAGATTCAATTGATAAAAAACGCTTACCTAAAAGATCATTACAAACAACTGAAACTGAACAAATTCCTAAAAAAGCCCGTTTAGAAATTGAAACTGATCTAGGCGTTCAAGAAAAACAAATATCAGCAATCGAATTAAACACTCACTATATCATTGATAATCTCCCAATTACAGCAGCCGTTTCAATGGTTTTGAGTGGTTTCGTAAATCTCCCTGATTCAATGCCATTACAATTTAAAAACGATTACGCCGATATGTTAAAAACTTCCCCTTCAGGCGATATAAAAATGATCGCTAAAATATTAGCACATCAATTTGTTGAAGTTGGAGTTGGACCTGGATCAAAAATTATTGGAAAATCAACATTACTGGTTAAGTTACCATGGAAAATTCCTGAAGAAGAGAAAAAAGATGATAAAGTAGAGAAAGATAAGAATGATAAACAAGATAAAGAAAAACACCAACAACAACCCCAACCTGTTCCGCCACCCAAAAAGGAACGAGTTAAAGTACCGCGAATAAAAACTTTAAAATTGGCTGAAATAACGAAACCTTTGGAGAAAGAGGTGAAGGAAAATTTGCTTTCGGGGGCGATTAAACGAATTTTACAGAGTAGTTCTAAAGGGGTTGATCCTTTGGGACAAAAAATTATTGTTACGGTTGCTTCAACGTTTAACGAAATCGTTCGAGATCAAGTTTTAACATATTTATTGTCCGATTTACGTAATCAAATTGATTTAGCGTTGGCGTGGTTGTATGAAGAGTATAGTATTATGCAAGTAAGTATTTTATATTAACTTTTGAGACGAAACATTTTAAATGGACTGTATTTAGACAATAGTAAGGTTTGGGAAAAAAATATTATGAGCAAAGTAAGCAAATGGAATAGTTGGAAATTATTTTGAAGTTGGTAATTCGACCGCAAAGAAACATAAAATTAAAAAAATTTCGGAAAGATAGATGATGTAAAATTTTATCAATTTTTTGCAAAGAAGGTCACAGCTACTAAGCTTTTAGTCTAATAAAAATGGCATTTTTATTAATTAAAGCATTTCTGAGGTAAGATAGAGCCATTTCTATCTCATCTTAAGGGGGTATGCCACCTTGAAAACCCGAAAATAATAGGTATTTTTAAATTTTTTTTGCAATCAGACGAAAGAAGTTTTCTAAAAACGGGTTGCAGGATGCGAATAAGCCACTTTTCTAATTTTAAATACATATTTTATTTATTAACAGTTATTAAAACCCGCTACACCCGCTAGATGTCGGTAATGTTAGGCTTGCAAATCGTGCAGGGTCAAACTGTGCGCAGGATTTCTCCTAAGGGCCGATTTACATCAGACGAGCGAATGCTCATTCTATCCCCACTCTATCATATTCTTTTAGTGTAAACAGATGTAGAGCATTCTTTCGTTGTTCTGTCTGTGTTCTCAAAGATTCTAGGGAATATTCTAAGAATGTTCGATCGCTTGATGTAAACGACACTAGAGCGTGCGAACAATTGCTTAGAGCCTTCTTGCGTGTTCGGACGTACTCGCTCATCGGAGCGGCCTCTTCAAAGCGTTCTTGTGTTCTAGCCGAATGAGCATTCGTTCGGCTGATCTAAACATCTATGTGCAAGAATTCTAATTCTTGATTCTCATTTTTGCTCGTTGATATTTTGGTGTAAACGCGCTTTCGTTTACACTAAAAGATCAAGAAAGAATGCTCTTGTTCTAGCTCTAGCTCTTTGCTCGTTTGGTTTAAATGCACCTTAACGCGTAAGTCGAATAATTAAAACTTGAATACGATTACTTCAGTAAACTCAAAAACTAGGGAACTACGCAGGATTTTTAAAAAATATTCATTTTTGACGTAATGGTGACGATTTTACAAGACATGTATTTATCGATTAAAAACGTACATAAAAATGGTTGTAAAACAGAGAATATGAGACATATCGAAAAACTACGTACTTACCTAGAATAAGATAATACAAATTTTTGAAAAAAAAAATCTTGAAAATCCGTTGAAAAATGTGGAAGTTATCGTGTGCACAGATTGGAAAAACGTAATTTCCAGAAAAACGCGTTTAAAGTTTTCGAATGTAAAAAATTGTATATTTTTTCTAGACACGTCTAATCAGCGATTCCTGCACCATACAGCTGTCCTTCCTGAAGCTTATTTTCATCTTCTGCAGCTTTTTGTCTCCCAGTAGGCTTCTACGGGCTTCTTTAGCCTCAGCAGTCATGGAGCGATGCGATTTAAATCCGTTTCATGACAAAAGTCGAAGCACGATCTTCCAATTGTTAATTTCAGTGCTTGCATTATTTCCATAATGCTTGTAAGACCGTCATTAAAATTGCAAGCAGCTATATTAGACGTAACTTGTAACTTTCATTGTTGTTTTGCGTATATCCCCCTAAACATCTTGTCAAAAGATCTTCCCTTGATAGTTCTTGGTACACAGGTTTCACTGCGTTGAAAACATCATTGCCGATTGCTGGCTTGTGAGTGTACTCATCGATTTCTGACAAAGCGTACGCTTTTTGCCAGGAACACCACGAGTCAGCACCAACTGGACAATTGTCATGCTTTGAAGTTTCATCTGTTGAAATTTTATGATACAAAGCAGGAATCGCAATTTCTGCGAATAGCCAATCTATAATATAAGGAAAGTTCATCAAGTAATTTTCCTTTGCCTCGTAATCCGCGGGTGTTTCTGTTTAGATTTCGTAACCGTGTGCCCATTCGTTTCTGAACGTGATCGACGCATTCTTTTTTGTTTACTATTACACTGTCATAGGGCTGAGCGTCCATAATACCTCTGATGGTTTTGCTGTCTCCGTCTCCTACGTAAACACAGTACTTACTTCAAATTATGTTTTTCTTCGGATCGTTGAAACATCTCTACGACGGAGTCCACTTCCATTTTTCCTAAAGATCCGACATGGTTTATATCACATATTTCTTTATGATCTTCGACCCAATCTTGAAATTCCGCAGTATCTTCTTTACCTTTCCACTAACTACACTTTTTACAAATTTTTGACTTTATATTTGGAATTATCCCTTTGTTCGATAGAAGTCTGGTAAAGTTTTCTACGAAAATGAGTGTTTGTGATGCTATTGTTTATTCAGGTACCCGAAAGCCTACTTCAATAGCGTTTTTGAAACATGATATTTAATGTTTTTTTTTTAACTTTTTTGTACAACAAGGTCAAAATACCTGCATATACAATGGATAAAAAATGAAACAAAAAGTGGATACAGAAATCTTAGAATTTCCGGTGAGGTGTGTTACAAAAATCAATTTTTTAGGCAGAAAAACATTCCGCAAATGTTTTCTGTCAATGGATTCTTATTCTAGACAGTATAAAGAACACTTTTAAGCAAAAAAAATCGTTTTTTTTTTCATTTCAAAGGTGGCATATCCCCTTAAATGATTAAAATGATATCTGATAAGGGTCAGGTTACTACTTGTATGAATAAATCAGAATACAGGGGTGGCTCAAATTCAATGTCCAAATAGGCTATCTTGGAAACTATAAGAGTTAGAAAAAAAGTAGCTTACATGTCTCGATCTCTTTTTTTAAATAAATTCCACCGCCGAAAACCTCAAAACGCTATCGTCTTTTGTTTTTCCCCTAGATGCCAAAATTGAAAATATCGTAAAACCAGCAAGTGCAATTATCTTGGTTATTATTATAGGTGGAGTATTATAACTAACACATTATATGGACACTTTTTTACAGAGAATTTGATAATGTAGTCAAAAAAATTTTTTTGGTTTTAGATTTTGAGATATGAGAATATTCGTTTTTTTAAATGGAACCAACCACTGATTATTCGCTTATTAAATTCGCTATTCTTTTTCTGATTACAAAAATATAGGCATCGACAGGTCTATTTCTTATTGGTTTAGGGTAAATCTAAAAATAAACTTTTTTTATACAATTTCTAAACACCGCCGAAATCTAGTGTCGTCGAAAAAATTAAATTTACAGTTTCCTGTAAATTACGGAGCGGTATTTAAATTACGGGGTGTTATTTTTCTGGTATTTAAAAACAAATAATTATATTTATTACACCAACTGTTAATACGGAAATATTTAATGGATTGCATTGTTTTGGATTGGAGAAATATGTTTTTTTAATTTTTAGTTATAGTACCGTAATTTACAGGAAACTGTAAATTTTATTTCTTCGACGACACTAAAAAAAAGTTTATTTTTAACTTTATTCTAAAACCATAAGAAATAGACCTGTCGGACCCTATATTTTTGTTAAATAGAAAGAATTAAATAAAATTCGTGTAACGATGATAGAATTATTTATTTATATTATTCAGTGCTTACTGTAGTATTCGACCATATAGTGGTCTTCCTCGGGCACAACTACAATAAGAAAAAATGTATTAGAAGGAACATAGAACAATCCAGAAATTACCATAAATATTATGAAATAAAATATAAAAGTAAAGAACATAATTACCGTCAAAGTTTAATATCTAGATTACATGAATTTCTTTAGGATGAATGATTTTGAGTTGTCACAGTTGTTCTAAAAATCAATAAAAAAGGAATACAGAATGGTCAATTGTACAAATAGCGTACTTACAATAATTATCTGTTAAAGAATATTTAAAAATCAATATGATGTATGTCGGAAAGTAAAACAAACGGCGATGTTAACATATTAAAAACATGCAAAAATCACGAACTTAACAACAAAATATAACAAATCGAAAAAGAGTACTCTTCACACAAAAGGACGAGATAGACTGGTTTCGATAAAGAATTATTGAAGAGAGAAGAAAGGCGATATCTCATTCTAGAAAGCGGTGTATCGTTTATATGTTGTATCTATTCTATAACTTAAATTCTATTTCTCATCTATATCTATAAATATGAAACATCTATCAATAGATTATATGGAAATCACTTATTACATGTATTTGATGAAAAGTCTACAATTATTAACATCCGCTAGGTCGTTCATAAGACAATTATTTTTGTTATTCTTATATACAGGGTGTCACACAAAAAACGCCCCAAGCTGTAACTTTGTTATTTACATTCCGATTTTCATGACCTAGGTATCAAATGAAATAGTTTTATAAATACTATGATTCAAGCTACAAATAATTTTTTTCCAACGCCATCTTCAATTTTAAGCGATTATCAACTTTTGATTTTCAATTGCTCTTTTTTTCTGAATCCATGAATGTACAATACATCAACATTAATTATAATTGTAGCAGAGAAAAACATTAAAATAGTTTCCGAACATTTTCTTAAAGTCACTTGTGGTATACTGTAGTGTGCAATGGGAAAAAATAAAAAAAAAGCAACTTATAAGTATCATTTACAATTGCTTCGGGCATTGAAACAACATTTAATGACTGTTCTCAATTTTGCCCGTTATTTTTTTCTATGGCACACTAGAGACAATGTTTGGAAAATGTTTTAATTGTTATTCAGCAATAGATTGTATATTTTTGTTGAACTAATACTGGACCTAGAAATATTCGGATTTAGCCGTGCGTCTTTTAAGGTGGCTAAACCCGAATGTTTCTAGGTCTAGTGTTAGCTCTAATATTAATTGTCGATAGATATCTGAGCTTATGATGCAAATGCATTAAGTTATATGGATTTGATACAAAAAGTAAACAATAAAATTCGGATAATAAATTTTAGTTAAACTAAAACTAGAACTAACACTAGCACTATCACTAGACTTTTGACAAAGACTTCTTCAGGAACAAGTGCGAAGTGATGAATGAGGTTAAAGTTTGACAATAAATATATGAAAAGATAATTAATAACTAATTAATGTCTAACTAACAATAAGTTGTTTTTGTCAAATCTGGGTGGAGAAGGTTCCGTTGAGTTAACTAGTATCTTTCATCTGCGGCTTAGTTCCCAGCCGTCTTCTCTATTCATGTTGTTCCTATGTCGATGAATTTCTATTGCCTGTACCGCCATTCTTTGGAAATAATGTCCGGTTCTTGCTAGGACATTGGTTTTGTCGAACTCTATGGTCTGTCCTCCTTTGTGGCAATGCTTTGCGATTGTTGGATTTTGTTAAGTCGGACATTTCTTACATATTCCTTGATGCGGCATTCAATGTTACGTCGCATGTTACGACAGTTTGGCCAACGTAATACTTCCTGCAACTACACGATAGCCGGTAGACTCCCGCTCCCTTTAATGGGAGCGGTTCTTTTTCAGGCATCTCGCAATTCGTTCCATCACATCTGAAACATAAGGAAGGCATATAAATCCGGCTGATGTGGTCCTCTCTGCTTGCCAGAACAAAGCTTTAATCACTGATCTCTGCTGTTGTGGGTGGTGATGGACTATCAAAATCGCTAGAATTTGAACAAATGGTGCAGAATCGTGAGTAGTAGATATTTGTCTTTACTTCCATTGCAATTTGTTTTCGGCTACTCTGGGCTTTAAACAAATCTTTACACATCATTACCTCTATCAATGATGTATAATGTTGTAAGCGGTCTACAATTATTTCTCGGTTGTTTAGGTACATTTTGTTGATCCACTGCGATACTCTTCTTTAGATTTGTTGGTTTCAAATACTCATATCTTGATAACACTAAAAAATATGTTATACCGTTACTTCTATTGTTTTACAAACTTTATTTATTAAACTTACTTGTTATCTTCAAAAAATAAACTGAGCACATTTACTTTAAATGGTTACTGTTAACCACACTCATATTGGTGATGAGATCGTCTGTTGTTTATAAATATTAAAGGTGGGGGTAACATTCAAGGTTCGAACCTTTCAATGTTAAAATAAATCAAGGTTAAATTAGGTGTTGGGTTATAGCAGTGGTGTCCATAACGTCGATCGCAAAGCAGTTTTGAGTCGATCGCCTAAAAAATCATGAATCTGAATTATCTAATATCTGGGCCTTAGAGCAAAAAAGAGGAAGGTTACTTTAAACCCTTCGGTCGATCTTGGCAAGACATTTATATAAAGAGTCGATTTTGATAAAAAATTAGTGGACACTACTGCTCTATATAACAAAATTGAACCCAATTATTACTATTTTTTACTTATAAGCTCTAAATCGATTAAACATCAAAATTGTTGATTTTCGAAAATTAACTCAATCATAACTCAAAAACTAAAAGCGATGGAGAAAAACTTTTTATACATAAAACCTTAGTAATGGGCCATAAAGACTAAATCCATAACAAGATTGAACCCAATTATTACTATTTTTTATTTATAAGCTCTAAATCGATTAAACATCAAAATTGTTGATTTTCGAAAATTAACTCAATCATAACTCAAAAACTAAAAGCGATGGAGAAAAACTTTTTATACATAAAACCTTAGTAATGGGCCATAAAGACTAAATCCATAACAAGATTGAACCCAATTATTACCATTTTTTATTTATAAGCTCTAAATCGATTAAACATCAAAATTGTTGATTTTCGAAAATTAACTCAATCATAACTCAAAAACTAAAAGCGATGGAGAAAAACTTTTTATACATAAAACCTTAGTAATGGGCCATAAAGACTAAATCCATAACAAGATTGAACCCAATTATTACCATTTTTTATTTATAAGCTCTAAATCGATTAAACATCAAAATTGTTGATTTTCGAAAATTAACTCAATCATAACTCAAAAACTAAAAGCGATGGAGAAAAACTTTTTATACATAAAACCTTAGTAATGGGCCATAAAGACTAAATCCATAACAAGATTGAACCCAATTATTACCATTTTTTATTTATAAGCTCTAAATCGATTAAACATCAAAATTGTTGATTTTCGAAAATTAACTCAATCATAACTCAAAAACTAAAAGCGATGGAGAAAAACTTTTTATACATAAAACCTTAGTAATGGGCCATAAAGACTAAATCCATAACAAGATTGAACCCAATTATTACCATTTTTTATTTATAAGCTCTAAATCGATTAAACATCAAAATTGTTGATTTTCGAAAATTAACTCAATCATAACTCAAAAACTAAAAGCGATGGAGAAAAACTTTTTATACATAAAACCTTAGTAATGGGCCATAAAGACTAAATCCATAACAAGATTGAACCCAATTATTACTATTTTTTATTTATAAGCTCTAAATCGATTAAACATCAGAATTGTTGATTTTCGAAAATTAACTCAATCATAACTCATAAAGTAAAAGCGATGGGGAAATATTTTTTATACATAAAACCTTAGTAATGGACCATAAAGACTAGATCCATAAAAAGATTGAACCTAATTATTACCATTTTTTATTTATAAGCTCTAAACCGATTAAACATCAAAAGTGTTGATTTTCGAAAATTAACTCAATTATAGCTCAAAAACTAAAGGCGATGGGGAAATACTTTTTTACATAAAACCTTAGTAATGCGCCATAAAGACTAAATCCATAACAAGATTAAACCCAATTATTACCATCTTTTATTTATAAGCTCTAAATCGATTAAACATCAAAAATGTTGATTTTCGAAAATTAACTCAATTATAACTGAAAAACTAAAAGCGATGGGGAAATGCTTTTTATACATAAAACCTTAGTAATGGGCGATAAAGACTAGACCCATAACAAGATTGAACCCAATTATTACCATTTTTTATTTATAAACTCCAAATCGATTAAACATCAAAATTGTTGCCAAAAAAATCATGAATCTATCTATATCTGGCCCTCAGAGCGGTCGATCTTGGCAAGACATTTATATAAAAAGTCGATCTTGATCAAAAATTAGTGGACAACACTGGGTTATAGTATAGTTGACCTTGATTTTAACATGAGGGTCATGCAGTACGATCGTGGCCTTGAGTGTTTTAGGATGTANACTAGACCCATAACAAGATTGAACCCAATTATTACCATTTTTTATTTATAAACTCCAAATCGATTAAACATCAAAATTGTTGCCAAAAAAATCATGAATCTATCTATATCTGGCCCTCAGAGCGGTCGATCTTGGCAAGACATTTATATAAAAAGTCGATCTTGATCAAAAATTAGTGGACAACACTGGGTTATAGTATAGTTGACCTTGATTTTAACATGAGGGTCATGCAGTACGATCGTGGCCTTGAGTGTTTTAGGATGTAGGTCAAGGTCGTACAAGTTCATACAACACGGTTATAGTTCAAGTTGACTTCATTTCTATTTGCCGATTGACTAACCTCCTCCTCGAATGTCAAGGTCACGGCGTGGCATTGACCTTGGGAAGCTTACAGGGCTACGCTTTAGCAAATACCTACTTTTATTCGACAATCGGCAAGTACCTAGTACTACTATCGCGGAAGGAAAATTTTTAAAGGCTCACATTTTTTTGACGAAACCCTTAACGAAGAACGGTTTTGAGAATGTTTAAACGTTTTCCTTCCACCTCTTTTAGAAAACATTTGCTTGGTAACAAGCAGGAACATATGGTTCCAGCTTGATAGTTGTCAAGCATAAGATGAACAATATTCGAATCGCGTTACTGGAAGAGGAAGGCTATTTCTAAACGCTTAGATCTTTTTCCACATTTCTGTCTAGCTTTTACCATTGTCGAGATACAACCGTTTCGTACCCTTTATATAACATTAAATGCCAAAAATTTGAAAATCTAAGCTCAAATTTTTTAAATTTATTACTTTTAGGGTTTTACCCGGTTACCAGATTTACGTAGAAATAGTCGTTTAGATCAAAGTTACACCACTCTACTTCATGCCTTCGTAAACGCATCAGCTCATGATCCAATAATCCTCTCAAGATTACTATTAGAAGCACCTTCAGTAACCGAACAGGTTCTTGATCAACTTTGTACGATATGTCGAGATGAAACTCGATGTAATTGGGCAATGGGACTTCTTCGCGATTTGATTATTAGAAGACCACCACGTCAAACGATGTATTTAAACGCTTTACTATGTCATTGCACCCATGAAAATCAAATAATCCGCGATTGCGCCGCTGGACATATGATTGATCTTTATAAAGACCCGAATTTAAGAACAAGCATTGAGAAATATACCACGAAAATGTTGGAATATTTACAAGAACCACAACCGACCCCAAAATTATTCGGGATGAATCAGGGTCGATTGGAAGGTTTAGAAGTATGGACTGATGATATAGCTAAAGCTTGTCTTCAACCTTACATCACTTTACTTCCACAAAACGATCAACTAATCCATAAATTAACCAAAATTTACATTCAAGCAAACGCTGATATTAAACGAATTATCTTAAGATTGCTCGAAAATCCAATTCGATTGATGGGAATTGATTCTTCAGAATTGTTAAAATTAGTTGAGGAGTGTCCGAAGGGAGCTGAAACATTAGTAACTAGAGTGATACAAATTTTAACAGATAAAGGACCACCAAGTCCGCAATTGGTACAAATTGTAAGGGATTTGTACAATAGTAGAGTCTCAGATGTGAGATTTTTGATCCCAGTCTTGAATGGATTGAATAAAAAAGAGGTTATCGCAGCGTTACCTAAATTGATTAAATTAACTCCGGTTGTGGTACGTGAGGTTTTTAATCGATTATTAGGAGCGCATGGTGAAAGTAATATCACCGCAACGGAACTTTTAGTTGCTTTACACGTCATCGATCAAAGTAAAGTTGATTTAAAAACGATTTTAAAGGCGACATCTATGTGTTTATCTGAGAAACAGGTTAATTTTATAATTAATTAATAATTAAAAAGATTTTGAAATAATTTTGTTATTTTAGATATTTACACAAGAAGTTTTAGCTGTTGTACTTCAACAATTAATGGATCAACCCACTTTACCTACTTTATTGATGCGAACTGTCATTCAAGCATTGACGTCATATCCGAGACTTTCCGGTTTCGTTATGAATATATTGCAGAGATTAATTTTAAAGCAAGTGTGGAAAAATCGCGTGGTTTGGGAAGGGTTTGTAAAGTGTTGTCAACGAACAAAACCTCAAAGTTTCTCGGTTTTAATGCAACTTCCGGTTCCTCAATTAATTGAAGCTTTAGAAATGTGCGTAGAATTGAAGGTTTCATTGAAAGAGCATTTGATGACGTTTTCGGAAAGCCAAAGATCTCACATTCCTGTAGCGGTTCAAGATGCTATTTTGGGGCCTGAACAACCTCCGCCGATTTCACCGACGATTACCACGCCAACGGTAAGTTTACAAAATAAATATTAATTTAATTTAAAAAAAATTGATTTAGGAAAAACTTACGGATTCAACAACAATCCTTAACGAGCCTTTACCACCAGGAATGGAATAATTAAAACATTAATTTAAAAAATTAAGAAAATTTAATTAATTAAATAATAAGAATTTGTTTTTAAGTATTATTACGAAGTATTTTTTTATTAAAAATCTCGTTTTATTTTATAATTCATCTATTTTTATCGCCTCTTTTTCCCCGCTTTTTGTGGTTGATCGTTGAATGTTAATAAAACGGGGGTCAAAGCTGAAAGGGACTCAATGCTCGATGTGGAAGATGAACTTCGTGCCGTGTGACTTAACGCAACCGAGCTTGAACTTGAACTCCATCCCGGTTTCGATCCAGAAGGAAATTGCAGATTATATTTACCTAATAAATCGGTTACATAAATTAAAACTTGCTCATAATCACTCAATTGATTTGCTAATTGACGGAAACATTCTTTGTTTGCATCTTGTAGTTGACGTATTTCTAAATTCCTCTAAAAAAGTATTTAAAAAAAAATTAAACGCGAAAACCAAGGACGGTAGAATCGAAGAGGACTGCTACAACGGCCCGTTCGTGACGTCACGTAGGCAATAGAAGTTGCCTATCAAGTTCTATTTTACACTTTAAATTAGTAAATGCTTAATTTATTCTATTCTATTCCTGTTTTGTAATATTGTTAGTTTCAGACTGATTAAGTTTACGGACTTTCGCATTTACCTACTGCCTAGTGCCAAACGATTTCTAATAAGTGGCGCTATAGTTACAAACTAGTAAACGTATTCGGGGAAATCCCCTTAACGTTGTGATGTTAAAAGTGTAGTTTGCAATGACCGATTAATTTGGACACGGAGTTGAAAATTATTAAGCTTTTGAAAGAACTCAATTCGATGTAGTCCTAAAATTGGATTTTTCAAAAACTACAAATAATAGCATTTTGAAAAATAAGGAAAAAAATGTTGATGAAACAAAGTTTATTAGAAAAAGAGATGAAATTATTTCAGATATGGAAAGATTATTATTAATCTGGATAGAAAATAATACAATTCGGCATATTCCATTCAGCCAGACAATTATACAAAATAAAGATCTAAGTTTATTTAATGATTTAAAAGCCAAGAAAGAGGAAACAACGGAAGATATTACATTTGTTAGTCATGGATGATTTAAAAAGTTTAAGAAGAGGTCCACTGAACCTGAAGAGGACACTGAAAGTGCAGCTAAATTCGTCAAAGGCGTAGAAAAAATTATAAGAGAAAGGCTATACTCCTCATCAGATTTTTAACGTTGACGAGACAGAAAAAATTACCTGCAAGAACATTTATCGCAAAAGCATAAAAGTCTATACCAGGTTACAAAGCAGCAAAAGATAGAATAACACCTTTATTGGGCAGAAACGCCCCAGACACTATGAAACTGAAACCAATGTTAATTTACCAGAACGAAAACTTTAGAGCCCTGAAAAACTATGATAAGTCTAGCCTACCTGTTTACTGGATATCTAACAAGAAAACATGAGTAACTGCAGTTATTCTTCAAGACTGATTTAAAACGTGTTTTATACCTTAAGATGTTACTGTTGATAGATAACGCTTCTGGTCACTCTGAAACATTAAATGAACAACACCCTGACATTCGCATATACCACTTATACCGGGTATTTCAGAATTTGACTTTTGCAGAACAAACAGACATGTTGTTAATTTATGGCGAGGTATGTAAAAGCTGTTCGAAANACTGTTGATAGATAACGCTTCTGGTCACTCTGAAACATTAAATGAACAACACCCTGACATTCGCATATACCACTTATACCGGGTATTTCAGAATTTGACGGCACTATTTTAGGGATGTATTCAGCACAAAATAAACAAAAAAGTTTACAAGTAGCCATGGACAATAATCGCATATTGTTTTTTTGCTATATTTAGTATCAAATGTGTTAATTAGTGCTTAACACTAATTTAATTTTTTATTATTTATCATGGGAGACACTACAAATCTGTTCACTTTTGCAGAACGTCTTTTGTTCTGCAAAAGTGAACAGATTGTTGTTAATGTTGTTAATTTATGGCGAGGTACATAAAAGCTGTTCGAAAGTACCGTGAAAAAATTCTCACTAGAAGGATACCAAATCGGAAAACGTTTGAAGCCACTGAAATACGTCTTAGGGAAACTAGCACGCTAAAACCTACACGAATAAACGCTGGTCGACAAAGGTTTCGACGAACTGCTAACGTTGAAAAATTGATACTAGATGCTGTTCAGTTATCTCCTAATACTACTAGCACCAGAAGATTGTCACTTCGTTTCGAGTACAAGCATATGGCGTGCATTGCGTGAGCAACAGTTGTATCCATGTGCAAGATTTATTACCAGAAGACTATAACAAGCGCAGAAATTTTTGCCAATGGTTAATTCGGCAATGTACACGAAACCCTAACTTCATGAGCTGCCTCCTAGATACTGACGAATCTTGTTTTGCTAGAAACGGGATTATTAATTTTCGAAACACCCATACTTGGCACGAAGAAAACCCTTATACTACTGCTTCTACTCATTACCAACATGCTTTTTCCTTAAATGTCTGGTGTGGTCTTCTTGATGACAATCTCATCGGCCCTTTCTTTTGAAGCCTGGATGGTAGGCTTTCCGGAATATCTTACTTGAATTTTTGTACAAAATAATTTGTATGAGCTTCTAGAAGACATTCCGATTCCTGATAAGCAGGGAATGTGATTTATGCATGACGGTGACCGTCCTCACTTTTCTTATCTTGCCACTGATTATTTAAACATGGGCATATGGTAACCGATGAATTGGTCGAAACCAATTCAATATTTCGGTAATAAATTAATTTGAGACATATGTTTAAAAGACATACAAAACGCAGCCTGGGCCTCAACACCAGTTTTAACACCAAAACCCAAATCTAATATTTATCCTAAATTCCTTAGAGACAAAATTGCAGAAAAACGGAAAGCAAGAAAGAAATGGCAAACCAATAGAATTCCTAGTGATAAAACTAAATTAAATAAAATAACAGCCAAATCAAGAGCATTAACAGATGGCCACAAAGATAATAATATTCAAAATTACTTAAATGACCTTACTGACGATGCCAGTACTGATCATTCTCTGTGGAAGGCAACAAGAAAGCTTAAAGTTCCAAACACACATACACCTCCAATTCGAAATAATTATGGAAATTGGGCTAAGAGTTAATTTATTTGCTGAACATCTAAAAGAAACTTTAGATTTAAATTTAGATTTAAACTTTCATCAGACAGTCCAACAACTACGCTAAATAGTGTCTCTAGCGTAATTCAAAGTGATCAGCAAAGTAATATACCATGTGTAAAAATGAAAGAACTGTATTATGAAATACAAAAACTAAATATAAAGAAATCAGTAGGCTATGATCTAATTAATGGAGAAACATTGAAACATCTACCAAAACAGGCGATTACAAAACTATTACACATAATTAATGCTGCTTTTAAACAGAAATACTTCCCAAGCATATGGAATGTGGCTGAAATAATAATGATACCAAAACCTGTTAAACCCCCCACAGATGCTACATCATATAGGCCAATCTCATTATTACCCTTACTATCAAAACTGCTTGAAAAATTACTATTAAAAAGACCTATTAAAACCTGTCATAGAAGAAAAAGCCCTAATACGAACACATCAATTTGGGTTTCGGAATAAACATGCAACAATAGACCAAGTGCATAGAATAACGAATACTATGGAAATAGCAATGGAAGAAAATAAAGTCTGCTCCGCCGTATTTCTGAATGTTGCACAAGCTTTCGATAAAGTCTGGTTAGATGGTTTAAATTACAAACTAGACCAAATACTACCATCAACGTACAGTCAACTATTAAAATCGTATCTTTATGATCGATATTTTAGAGTAAAATACGAAAATAAGAAGTGTGCTTGGCCCAACATTTAATAGCTACATTCGCAGATGACACAGCGATCTTGGCTGTTGCAGAAAATGAAATAGTTGCAGTAAATAAGTTACAATTGGCCTTAAATTCAATAGAAAACTGGACCAAACGATGGCTAATAAAACTAAATAAAAATAAAAACTATAACAAACTATAACCAGTACACATAAATGACAATGCAGTCCCTTACGCCGACACCGCAAAATATCTTGGTATGATTCTGGATGCCAAACTCATATGGAAAGCTCACGTCAAAAAAAAACATGAGGAACTTGATATCAAATTTAGACTCCTATATTGGTTTATTGGCAGAAAATAACGCTATCACTAAGAAACAAGTTGCTAATATACAAGCAAGTATTAAAACCAAAATGAACATCCGGAATCCAACTGTGGGGTTGTACTTGCAAGACAAATGCAAGTCTGATTCAAAGGTGCATAGCGAATGCACCCTGGTATATAAGAAACACCGACCTCCATCGCGACTTGAAAGTAGCATCGGTGTCATCAGAAATTAGTAGGTAAATTAATAGGTTATAGATATTTGACGACAAGGTTTTATAACCTAGTTGTTAAGTTTGACGTACAATTTCACAGCCGACTACTGAATTTTCCATGATTTTATGTAGCATTAACGAAATACGTGTCTTTAGTTATTTGAGTTTTTTATGAAAACGACAATGTTTTTTAAAAAATAATAAGAGTAAAAAAAGTTTTAGAATGAATTTTCACATGAAATGAGGTAATAATGTATTAAATCCACCAAAAGGTTAAAAAAATCTGTCAAAATTTAGGAGACCATCACCCTTAATCAACCCTTTGAAATGCCTCAATTGGTCTCAACTTGCTAAATTAATACCCTCGGTACACTCATAACGTATACCAAATGTGGTTTTTCTAGCTTAATGTATTACGAAGATATTGAATGTTTTAAAAATTTAAGATCCAACTTTGAAGGCCTATTTTAACTCCTTAGGGGTACTACTTAGTATAGAGGTAAGTTGCGTTAAACCATCTTAATTTATTGTCCTCTACATGTCCCTGCTCTGTGTCGGTTCTTATGTGAATCACCCTGTATAGCGATGAGATCTTAGGAACTTTTTGGACGAATTTCGACATTTTAGACTATATTAGAATAGTGCAAGATGCTTCAAAATATAAAGATACAACCATAATAATGAGCAACATTGTAGAAATGGCAAAGANTATAGCGATGAGATCTTAGGAACTTTTTGGACGAATTTCGACATTTTAGACTATATTAGAATAGTGCGAGATGCTTCAAAATATATAGATACAACCCTACAACCATAATAATGAGCAACATTGTAGAAATGGCAAAGAATTAGATCTGGAAGTAGAATCAGAAGATGTAAATGAACATGATCTATCATGTTCATTATGTAGTGTATTTTTTCAATACGGACGTGATTTTTTGGAATATAAAGAATATAGCAGTCCTTTTAGATTCTACCGTCCTTGTAAGGAAACTACAAAATTTATATAATTTTAAAAATTACTTCTGGTTTTTCTAAATCTTCCTTTGAAACTTGTCTTTTGTATTTTTTAGCATTATGATGTGCGTTGTGAAGTCTTTCCTCACGCGAAGTTCGTTCGTTTTTTAAACGTGTATATACTGTTTGTACATTTTCGAAACACTCCATTCTTTTTTTGTGGGTCTCTTGAATATCATTTAATGCATCTTGAATTCCTACAAAAAGAGATTATAATTAATAAAAATAATTCTCTATGTTAACAACTTTACTTACTCATCAAATCTTTTCGTTTGCCAGTTAACGCTTTTTTCAATTGCTTTATAACTGTGGCGTTATTACATATTTCCTGTTCGAGTCTTGTCGTTTCTAAACGATCCTTATCTTAAAAATAAAATAAAAAGTAAAATAACAAAAACATGTATTAATTAAATTACTATCTTCTTCAAAGGGTTCTAAACTTTTTCTATAAACAGTATTCGTCATGTTAACAACTTTTAATGTATTTTCCATTGCGAGAATTTCCTTTTCAGTTCTTTTAACTTTATTATCCAATTCGTCACCTTCTTGTTGCAATTCATACCGTTCTTGGGCTTCCCGTATTTTAATGTGAGTAATCGATAAAGGTTGACCATCATCGTCTTTACCCAAAGCCATCAAAGCTAAATGATGTTTCTTTTGAAATTGTTCAATACGTATTTTCCTTAATGATAAATCGGCTTTTAAGCGACTTCGGGATTCTTCAAGGTTTCGTCTTTCCGCTTGTAGAATGTCTTGGTGGGTTGCAATTTCGATTTGTCTTTCTTTCAAAGACTACAACATTTGTGTTTCTTAAATTATTAACATTTTTAAAGTTGTTGATGATAAGCTACCAAATATATATGATATATTTTTTTTTATATTTAACTTTATAAACATTTAAACATATGATATTGAAATATAATTGCTTTTAATGTTAAAATACGCGCTTTGTTATTTAGTTCTTATTTTAGACGTAACGTGGCGTGTTTAAGTGACTTGAGTGGTTAAGTGTTCGCAAATAACATTAAAAGAAGTGCATTTTATTGCTTCGTCGTGTTAAAAACGTGTTAACATTCGTGTACTTATTGCGTTTTTACCGCTATTTAGTTTGAAAATTATTTTCATTTTAACCTCCATGACAACTAAATTTGTTTGTCATGCAATAACAGTCTGGATAACCGCTTAAAGACTGATCAAGTTTTTCTAAATCATTTTTTAATACAGTCTTGATGAAGACTTTCTCTCTGTCTCTTTATAGCTTAAATTGGCCTTAAATTGTCATGATAAGGGATTTTTTTAGCCAATAATTCGTCACACTGGCCAGACGAGTTGACGAATATTTTCATTCAGTCATTGTTAAAAAATACTAACGACACCAGATATAAACGACTAGGCAAACTAGACTTGACAGAACCATAGTAAAGACGTAATGCAGAGATCAACTGCTTTAATTATGCCTTTGCACCTTTGGATCAAACTGCTACCAAAAGAAGCATGATGTCAAATATCGCCAGGATCTATGTGGATCTATCTCTCGCTAAAAATGGATGCATCAACTTTGGACCTTGAAATTGGATTGGGATGATCTGTTACCCAACGCTATCTATGTTTGAAATGCTTGGGATAATTCAAATTTCTAGATTTTATGGCCTGATTGGTGCCCCTATTGTTGATATGCACGTGTTTTGTGACGCTTCGGAATCCGGTTATGGAGCTGTAATTTGCTTGAGAATAAACAATTCGGATAAAATTACCACTCATTTGATATATGCTAAATCGCGCGTTGCACCTTTAAAACAGCTTTCTATACCTCGCCTGGAATTGTGCGGTGCTATACTGCTGGCGGATAGCATTGATTATGTCCTGGACGCTCTTAAAGAACAGATAGTTATTGATACACTTGTCACCTGGACTGATTCACAAATAGTACTGAGCTGGCTTTCGTCAATTCCATCTCGTTGGAAAACCTTTGTAGCAAACCGAGTAGCTCACATACAGGAAGTTCTTCCAAAAACCCATTGGAGACATATCTCATCTGATTCTAATCCTGCTGACTGCACTTCTCGAGGCTTGACACCAACATAACTCATTGCAAATCGTTTGTATTGCAATGGACCTCATTGGTTGACTATGCCAGAAGAATCGTGGCCAGATTCCTCTTTTCAAGCTAACTTAAACGAAGCACCGCCGGAAGAAGTCCGAGCATCGTTGCAGGTTACAACGGACTTATCCTTTATTACCTACCTTTTGACTCGCTTTTCGTCGTTACCTAAAATTTTACGTATCGTTGCCTATTTATTTCGGTTTTCGTCGAAACTTCACCGCTATGAAATAATACCTTCGCCTGATGAATGCCATCCGTCATTACTCAAACTTATCAAAATGGTTCAAGAGGAAAGTTTTCCCCAAGTAATTGGTTGTTTGAAAGCAAACCGTTTAATTTCAAAATCCTATCGAAAGCTGTCGTTATTTCTGGACGATCAATACTTGATCAGTGTCTTCATCGTTCACAACTTGATTTTCAAACATGTCATCCGTTACTTTTACCGAGTAAACATCACTTGACGGAATTGATAATTGAGAATGCTCACCAAATTAGTCTTCATTCTGGATCGAAAACGCTCCAATATCTTTTACTACAACAAGTCTGGATTTTGTCATCAAGAAGAAGTATCCGGCGTTGCCTCTCTAAATGCTTGAAATGTTTTAGATCTCGCCCTCGAACCATTACTCAACCGATGAGTGATCTGCCTTCTGTTAGAGTAACAAGAAGCAAACCCTTTGACGCCATCTGTATCGATTATGCAGGGCCTTTTATCATATCAATGACTCGTGCTCGAGGAGTTAAAACCACCAAGGCATATGTTTGCGTGTTTGTTTGTTGTGCCACAAAAAAATCATTTGGAAGTCGCATCGGGCATTGCTCAGTAATCTATAGCGATTAAGGAACCAACATTGTCGGTGCACGGCGTCAATTAGAAGAACTATCCAGACAAGCGGGTGAACGATTATCGATTAAATGGATATTAAATCCACCCAGCGCTCCTCATTTCAACGGCTTGGCCGAGGCCGGTGTGAAGTCAACAAAAACACATCTAAACGGAGTCATTGAAAACCAAATCCTCTCTTACGAAGAATTATCCACACTCCTTACTCAAATTGAAGCCGTACTCAACTCACGTCCTTTGTGCCCAATAAGTGATGATCCAAATGACCTTCTGACTTTAACTTCTGGCCATTTTCTAATCTCGGAAACTAAACAATGTACCTAGTCCGGAGTTGGCTCAAGTTCCTGTTGGCCGACTGACGCGGTGGCAATTGATCCAGAAGATGAGAGACCATTTCTGGTCCAGATGGCATCAAGAATATTTGCACACGTTACAACAACGAGAAAAGTGGACAGATCCAGCGGTACAGATAAACCCAGGAATAATGGTTTTATTGAAGTCCGACCAACATTCTTCCCTTTCTTGGAAAATGGGTAAAATTCTCGAAGTTCACCCTGGCCACGATGGAGTTAGATACACGATGGGTAACGATTCAAACGGCAACGGGCACCTTAATGCGACCTATTACCAAGGCGTGCCCGTTACCTATTAATTAAGGTATAAAATATTTACCTTGATTCAGAATTTAATTTCCTTTCGTATTTGTATTATGAAATAGCATTTTTTGTTCTATTTTTTTGGAAAATTATTATTTTCGGTGGGCGGGATGTTCACGCATCACATTATTAGTTTCTTATTATTGTTTATTTTCGTTATTATTTGGTTTTGGTTCGTTCCATTGCTTGAGTGTGGGGGCGAATCAGTTCTTGTTTTTTTTTGAGAAGTTGGTCTCAATTTTTGGAGGCATTGTGATTCAATTTTCGGTCCATACCAGGCCCACGAATGAGATATAAATTACCGTGTGTCGTTAAGATAAGTGAGAACTGTGTATTAAAACCGATCGAAAAGAAGAGTGGAAATAAATTGTGCGACTTCAAAAAAGACTGTCCCGATTAACAAAAAGTCTAGCTAGTGAAGAAAACAACATTTAACAGCGTGGTTAATCAATGGTCGGAGAGTGAACCAGCCCTGCCCCATAAAAAAAAATCGTATTGAATGTTACTGCACATAACAGGCCATCTTTTAACCCAGGTATGCCCACCATACTACATAATATAGTACACGCAAATACATGTCTCAACGTATCCGAACATGAGTCGAAGTGGCATTTCGGATGCACACAGACATTCAGTAAGAAGTAGTGGTTGCGTAAAGGTGCATAGGTTTGCAATTAAGTGTTAATTACTCTCATTGTTATTTTTTAAAGTTTGTGAAATATCATTAATGGCGGAATACGGTGTACGATTTGTTAGGTAAGTAGTTTTTCATATATTCTATTATCTATTTTTCTATTATTCATTATGGATAATAAGGCAAAAGTACCAAGTTTTAGATATATTATCTCCAAATTAGTTTTAAAATTTATATGTGTACTATATGTAGGACGGTGGGCATTAGGATACCTCTTATTTTTTCTATTATTCTAGAGGTTTTTCGTTAAACGAGGCTTTGGCAATGTTAGAAGATGACGACGAACTGGCAGAAAATGTCGATTCTTTGACCATTTTTCCACCAGAGAATGGTTGCGGAGATCAAACCGATGAAGATTCTGGAGAGTAGGATGCCACAAACCTAAATAATTTACCTAGACCACCACTTCAAGCTCCAGCTGAAATAAATTTCCGAAATATTGACTGCCAGAATCAAAATCAAAAGAATGCTGACGATTTTTCTTGAGACGACGAAATTCCTCTTTCAGCCTTGAGGGTAAAGAAAGCAAGGGTAGAAAAAAAATACGAAAAAAAGGAAAAGTTATAAATGGACGAATAAGGACTTGGAGCTTAATAATATAATTTTTAATGGCCAAGTAGATGAAAATGATAACGATATAAGTCCTTTGGAGCTATTTTCACTTATCTTTGATGATAAAATACTGGATTTAATAGTAATCGAAAGTAATCGTTATGCAAATCAGAAGAATCACCACCTAAGAATAGAGAAAACAGAAATAAAAGCATTCATAGGTGTACTATTACTCAGTGGATACATGCAAGTACCAAGAAGGAGAATGTACTGGGACTATGAAAGAGACAGTCAAAATGTGTTGGTGTCTGAAGCAATAAGTCGAAATAATTTTGAATATATTATGTCCCATTTTCATCTGGCAGATACTACTAAAATAGAAGCAAGAGACAAATTCGCAAAGGTGAGGCCTTTATTCCAACATCTGAATAAAATTTTTTTAGAAAATAGTATTTGCGAGGAGATGCATTGCGTTGATGAAGCCATGGTACCATACTTTGGTCGTCATGGCTGTAAACAGTTTATATATGGCAAACCCATCCGGTATGGATATAAATTGTGGGTAGGGGCAACGCGACTGAGCTATGTGACTGCCCCAGCCGTACCAAGGCGCGTCAACAAATATCAGCACTAACAAGGGAAGTGTCACAACTGTGTCTCACCGATTTCGATGCAATTTGGTACAGTCATAGAATGGGCCAAAATAAGGTTCG